TTAGTTACAGTCTCGCTCCGTTCCCGTTCTCGGCGCCCTCGTCGGGTGTAAAAATTACCGCTTTTATCTCGAAGATCGGGAGGGCGTGGCTATGCACTCCATTAAAACAAGGCACTCCTGATGGGATATTTTCGTTTTGCGCAGTTGTTATTGTTCTTTGAGCAGAGAGGACAGGATGATATTTGTCTTGATGGAAATGTTTCATGAAAAATTGTAGCATACATGACGTTTGAGGGAGGTGCGTAGCCACGCCTTCCATATCTTCGGGATATGGGGTTATCCAAAAGTTAGCATATTCCGGAACGCCGTTGTGCGAGTATATCCGCATCATTTCGTTACTTTTCAAATCGATAGTCAGTAATTTAATGTGTTTCTTTCACTTTCCTATGAGGTATGTGTACTGTGGCCTGAAAAACGTGCTGATACTTTGGAGCATGAACAAGCTGCCAAATAGACCATGGGAAAGGGTGCAGCGAGAAAAATGCATGGACACACCATCTATTGTGTTTTTTTCTCATTGCGGTATTGAATGTGTTAAATAGCCGCGTAATTTAGAAGCACTCCATCACCATCAACTGGTGAGCGAATACGTCGCGTTGAGCAGCTGGATCCTATAGCAGCCGAAGAAGAACGCGAACGACGGCGAGCACAAGCCGAACGGGATCGAATCGCTTCATCATCGGTTGGATACACTGTAGCCCAGTACGGACAGCCGGGTAGTGTGACAATCGACAGGAGTCATTCTCCGGATAGGTATTTTTTTTACAGTACTTGTACTGCCTGCTTCGTAAGCCCTTCAGTATAGTCCTTCTCAAGGTACTCCACGCCACGATCGTACGGTGGTACGCTGGATAAAAAAGAACCCCGAAATGCGGTGAGCCCATCATCGTTCGAGAGCAAACAAGTAAGTAAATGTACTCTCAAGTGTTTTGAGAAATGAAAATTGCAATCGATAAGAGCGCTTTTGTCGCTTAAGAGACCGGAATCACCCGAATATTCTGCGGTTTATGAGCGCTTCGATCGGAAGCGTGATGAACCTCCACCAGCACCTGCTCATGCTCAACCAGATCCATTAAAGGCTAAGGTTGCTGCATCAAGCGAGAATTCTCATCAACGGTACAGGTAATAGTTCGGTAATAGTTAATAGTCATAACGACGGGTAACTTGTGACTTCTTTAGATCGAGAAGCCCACCACCGGACTATGACAGTGGTCCTTCAGTCACGCAAAGTATCGCTACATCAGTTAAGGTGAGAGGATTTGAAACTTAAGTTAGGCTGCCTTCATACTTTGCGGCAGCGTATACCCAGCGTCCACTAGCGTTGCGAATGTCAGGCAGCGTCACCGACTAGGAAAGTACAGATATCAATCTAGCGTCTGCCAGCGCTATTTAGGCGTCCACCAATTTAGTTCACCAGCAACCAGAGAAGTAGAGAGTTATGGGGAAGTAGGAGGGTAGCAAACAGCTGCGACTAGGCGTCGTGAAAAAGCGACGTGTGCAACCGCACCGTACAGCTACACTTCACCCTCATTACATTGCAGAACTCCGTGCTTTAGCAGTTGTGCGTTACGGTTGCATACGCCGCAATTTCACGACGCCTAATCCAGCTGTTTGCTACCCTCCTACTTCCCCGTACTCTCTACTTCGGTCTTGGTGAATTGCTGGTGGTGCGCCGGCAGACGCAGATCAATATCTATCACTCTTAGTCGCTGATGCTGCCGGACGCTCGGAACGCTAGTGGACACTAATGGACGCTGGTTGGGCGCTGCCGCAGAGTATGAACGCAGCCTTGAGAATGCCTTATTTCATTGCATTTGCACGCTCGTTTCATTTCTTTTGTTCACCATCTTCCCTAGTTCCGTTGGCAATGACTTTCCCATTAGCCGATTTTCCCACACATATTTTAAACCAACGTAACCCAGTCTTTTTTGTTGTGGCCTTCTCTTTACTTCCTGCAGTACTGCACTTTTGATTGATTTGCTTCCTCTTTATAAATCTTCCAGTGTGTGTCCAGACAAGATTTCTTCCAGTAGAGCTCTTCAGTGGGTTTGGGAGCAGGCAGTTTCCAGATCGTACCGCGCCTTCGTATCCGCCCTCATAGTGCGATCTAGCTGAACAGATCACCTAATTACACTGTGCCTGAATAAGTCCTACCATTGCGCGGATTCTAGTTAAACTGAAGAGATTTTACTTCTCTGCCTTAGAGCAATTTTTGCGCGTTTCTGAATTTGAGGTAGATAAGCGCATTTATGATTAGTACTTGTTTTATAATGAAAAGCTAAACACTCTTCTTCCTTTTTTTTCGTTAGGATATAAGACCCTTTGCGTTCCTGCCAAAAGCTACTGATGGTTAAAATTTTCTTTCTCAAATCCTTTTTCGCTCAGATTAGTTCAGCGAGCCGGAACTTTTGCTTAGATTCAGCCACAACATCTCAATCCCCAGATTCACACACGTTTCTGTGGACCTTACTGCACTGAATTCGTCTAACTTCATAGCTTCACAACACCCCAGCAGACCTTTAGGCTCAGGCTCGGACGAAGATTCGGTCTCCCTACCCGCCCATTGTTCACGCCACAATTCTACTGCCCCACCACTATCTTACACACACTTGCACAATGACATAGATGAATACTGTTCTTCTTGAAAGGAAGTGTGCAGACGTTCACAAAATGGCGCAGAACGTTGCCAGGATTAATTGAAGGTTCACATAAAGCTGAACTGCGCCCAAGTTTGGGTCGGTGCTTTTATCCTTGCTAGTAGTTATAATACCGGACTGCTGCACGGCATGGTTATACAAATGTAAGGGTTGGGGGTGGCACTAAAAAAGGCATTTCGCTCATTAAGGGTACGCCTGAAAGCTTTTGCGCGCGGATTGACGGGATAAGTGGATTGCCTTGGATATGTCATCGGGCATCTAGTTCTCAGATCACGTATCTTCAGAACCCCTCAATTCACGGTCCCTTGGGTGCGAAAGGATGAGTCACTCCCATTGTGATAGCCATGCTCCGGGTGTTCGAAGGCGATTGAATCAACTGGGGAGATTAACTACTGCTCCAGGTTGACGCATTATTGTAAGCCTCTTTGAGCTCTTCAAGTGGGAGGGGTAATTCTATTGTAGTGACTGCGGGCTAGCGCTCAGACGTGCTAACAGAGGAACCTGGACTCCTTGAAACTTATGTCATGAACATGCACCTCGTCCCCTTGTGCGAAGTTAACTTTGACTATGCACTCACACTCTACGGGTGAAGCCGTCCACCCCCTAGGGCGTGGTTTGCACAGACAGACTACAGCATCGTTTTGTGACAACACATAGGGGTCGTACTTTTCGGCTGGGGAGGGGGTCGTATTTCGTCGTTGTTGAGGGGAGAGGGCTGAGGTCGTATTTCGTCGTTATTGGGGGAGAGGGCTATGTGGCTTTGACAGAAATTTGCCGCGTTGGGGAAAAACTTTCCCGGTTGTTGACTTTTAGCGTGATACTTCCTGTCTCATCTGCTTACTATTTACCCCCCCCCTTCCCTTCCGGAAGGAAAATCTCTGAGAGAAAGTGAAAAAACTTGCGAAATTTGCGGAAATTGTAAGCTAGGGCAGCTGCTGGGGGGGGAGGGGGGTCGTACTGGCACCACCATTTCACACATCACGATGCTGTACCCTGAGCACAGATAAGATTCGGTCTTCCTACCGTCTGTCTCGTAATAGCGCCACATCCCACTACACGAGTAACTATTCCATTGTACTATTACTTTGAACATGTAGTACTTGTTGAACGGGAATTTGCAAAAGTTCATCGTTGTCGTTTAACCGTACAACAAACAGAGTACACATTTGATAAGACTCAATAGAGCTACGTCGCTCGCATTCAGTGTAACATTCCAGTTAGTGTCCCAATTAGCGCTTAGCTGGCAACAACCACCATCGCCATCGTAGCGGACTGTCATCGTCGTCGTTCTCCTCGTCATCGTCGTTGTCATCGTCGGCCACGACTAGTTGTCATTCCTTACTGCAGTCACTCTGCTACAATAAATTACAAAAAGTTATAATTAGCCCTTTATGCCTTTAAAAGTCCATACAGCATCGTCACGGCTGTGAATATCTCATTAAAGGGAAGTTGAGGGGGATGCCTTTCGTCGCTACGAAATTTTCAAAATAATCACTTCGTTTGGGCGGAGGTTTGCTGTTCCACATAGTCCAGTCGAGAAAGTAATCTGTTCTGATTGTGGTACCAAGGGGTACTCGACAGGAAAATAGGGCCATAGAAAATGAAGCAGTGGGAGGAGGTTAGGCTCTCCCGTTTATGCGCCATGCATCCATTCACAGTCGCAGAGCCATTTGAACGAGTCTTTAGGCTATAAAACTTGACAAAGTCGGCCGATAGCGTACTCATGCTCATTGTACCATTTAATTTTTAGCACCCCGAAAAATAGAAGGGTTGGGTATCTTGACGTAGTTCATGAGACGTGAGTGCAATGTTGGCGCCTGTTGTCACTAATTCACCATTCATGGTTGGTAGCTTCCACTTAACGGTCTTGTTCGCTGCGGATGATGGGGCGTGCCAGAAGGGGCCCGGTTTGACTCGACGCCAGCCTGTTTCTTTTTACTTTTGGCAAGCGCTAACACTAGCATACTGGTTCGTGTCAGTCGTTTTCCACCAATTGTTATCGCTTACCCCCTTCAAAGCTGATGGCAGGACACAGGCTGGCAGCGCGCCTAACCTAGCCTTGCTGACACGCCCCCTTCCCGTCTTACCCGAAGCGAGCAAGACTGTGCGACAATTTCCTCCACTTCTGTTCTCGGCGTTCATTGAATATATTTGAAGACATTTCGCCCATAGTAAACGCGTCAAGAAAATCATTTTTGCTTGAGCCTAGGAAACCCGGGACGGGTGGAGTGGCTTCGCCCTATCCCGCGAGCTTCCTTCTTCTACTCGGAAGGGAACTCCTCATTTTCCCCTAGCTCGCATCATTTCCTCCACCAACGCTATACTTGTTAAACACGACACGCACGCACCTCACGCGACTCCAAATGATGTGGAAGAGCAAAATTTAACAAAGATCTCGTGCAAAATTGCAATTACCCTAGCCCGATAACCCGACGTACTATTGCACCCTATGCGCCAGTGTATTCGACTGTTTTTCTCATCACTACTGATGAGGGTACCTAAAACTGTGGCATCTAACACATTCCTCACGTCTACCTCACGTCTTTACGACACAAACTTTCTTGGCGAAACCAATCAATAATGTCATTTTCAGACTTACGACGAACCAACATTTACGGAAACCACAGCAATAACTCGTACAAGCTACACGATTTCTCCAAAGACAGTAGAGAAAGAGCAAGAGAAGTGAGCTGCACCAAAATCATTTCAAAGGGAATAAGTGGAAAAACATTTTTGAATTTAGGAAACCTGAAGTGGCTCCGCCATCGTACAGGAAGCCAGTTGATGAAACCAACTTGAACGTCCAAGAATAAGGATGATATTCTTTGAGAACGCAGTCTTGAGTATATTTCCATCATTTTCGAACCACCCAGTTCAATGCTTTTTTTTGAAATCGATCTATACGATTTCCGTTCACAACTTCTTTTTGCTTACTGGTTAGGCGGACCACACGTACTGAACAACTGTTCACCCAATATAGCCAGTGTGTTGTACAGTACCGTAGACTTGAACTTTCTTTTCATTTCTCATCTCTCACTTTTTTATGGACACCCTGCAAAAACCTCTTCCATGAGAATCGTTCTGTTCAGTTCATCGATCGAAGTAGTGCTGTACCTCCTCATATTCTACTTCGAAGTGACGAAAAACCTCAAATCTATGACATGCCGGCGGAAAAATTGAAAAGGTACACATTTATTCAATAGTTTATTTATCGCACCCCTGGACATGATCTTAAAGGCAGCGTCCGCGATCAACCAAAGTGAAAAAACCCTCCAATGAAAACGAACGCGGAGTACGCAACCACAGCGGAAATCCCACTCTTGCGGCTCGAAATCGATTGGTTGACGAGGGCGGAGTCAACAAGGCTGAGCTGACGCCTCCTTCCCTGTTAATCCCGCCCCGACTGGTTAACAGTTATCAGTGCTTGCTGGCATTGATAAACGCTAAGTTTCTGGAGTTCCGAGGCCGGCGACGTGTATTGGAGAGCCTCACAAAGGTCTGCGAAACTCGTCCACATGCCTTAAATTTCGTAGGGTCTTATTTCACGCTCTTCCACACCTTTTTCCTACTTTTTTTGATTAGTGCTTCAATTGGCCACCTGTTCTAACAAATTTGACCCCTGAGACCTGCCAAAGTCCATCGCGGGCGCTGTCTTTAAATACCGCGGCTCTAGACGGACCGTAACTGCGGACATAGTTGCGCGGAATAGCGGCAGTATCAGGAAACTATTCACATTTTTATTATCACTATGTTATATGTAGAGATTCCACTTCACAGGTTTCAGTTCCCTTGTCGTAAGGCTACGAGCTGGCAAATTCTGGGATCCACTTTCTTACGTAGGTATGATTTGCCGCTTTGTACACACATTTCTAAGCAGGCGTTCAGACTTCACGACGGCAGCACTACGGTCGCGCGCTCGACGCGATCGATGCAATTGAAAGCATGTGCATCGATCGCGTCGAACACGCCACCAGAGCGCTGCCGTCGCGAAGTCTGAACGCTGCCTTGAAGCCGCAATTACGACCCACTTTTAGCCAGATACAGTGCATATATTAAGTATTCCTAAGTAAATTTCTGAGGATCGCAGTTGTATAGAAGAGGAGAAGGCACGTCTTTCGTCCTAATTCCTAACGAGAAAGGGTGTCGTGGTTGGTTCCATGTCTCAGCGAGGGCGACAAATGAGACGTTTTGAGCGATGTCACTTGGGCAACATTCGCACCAGGACCCAATCGGTTCGAGGTGGCAGAGTTGCGGCGCAGTGAGTTCAAACAGCAACTTTGCTCATTTGCCAGCGATGCTGCAACTCGAAACTTATTATAACCAATGATATCAACGCCTTGACACTATTTTCACCCGGGGCTTGGTTAAATGCGCGCTAAACATCCGCCTATGGTGACAACCTATTTTCTTTGGCATATTTCTAGTTGAAGGACGATGATTAGAATCTATTCTGACGGTGCCAAACCACAGGTTGTGAATCGATGTAGAGTGAGCCACCTATCATGTAAAGAAGCCTACGACATACAAGGTGTTTTAGTTGTGTTAACTCACTATCTCGGAAAGATGGCACAGACGAGAGCAGAAAATCAAAACCGGTTGACGCGCGGGCTCTGAAACGGTCCATGAACAAATCGAACTCAATTCCTTCAGTTGCGCTGACTGGTTTTCTTTTTCTCTGGCACCCCATGTCTACATAATATTCCTTTTTACTGTAATGGCCTTTCACATATGAACTTTAGCTTGAAAAAGTGCTCCACCTACCACGGGAGTCTCCCTACTCTACAAAAGCTCATGCCCTTGCTCGCGGTATGTGTTTGCATCTTCTTATGCCTTGGCAGCCGCAGTTCTGTGTTTCTCTGCACTCTGGCCTTTCGCGCCAGGACACCACAAGGAATACTAGTTCCAGCAATCTGTTAAACAAGTTCGATGGCCTACTGATAGCAGCTAATCTCGTAATAATAATCGAGGCCCAGTACGGTTCATCGAATGCTGCGGAATTTTGTGCTCTCGACGTGGGTATGTCTGAGTGGAGGGAAACGTGCAAGAGAATCGTAAATCGCCGCCGCTCGTCGCGCACGGCAGTGAGCGCGACGTTTTTTTTGGTTTGCACCACCCTTTTGATTGGAGCATCGGATTTCATGACAAGGACATGGTGGACACTTATGTCTATTTTTGGTCATACATTGTCTATTCTCGACCAATACCACCTAAATCGTCGTCATTAGCGGGCGCGACGTCGCACGCGACGCCCACTGGCGCGGCGAATTACGATTCTCTTGCCACATACCCATCTGACGGTTAGGGGTTCGTGCGAGAATGAAATTCTACTTCGAAGTTTGGGTGATGTCACTGCTTGGTTACCGGGCTCGGGTCTATGGGCTCCCTAAACTTGATCCATGGAATTCCATCGAGTTTCTCTCTCGTCTACGCTCTCTTTTCTGCATAGTATTGTATTAACACTGGGACATTACGCATGCCAACCTCCTACACATAATGAGTGGTTCTCGCCATCCTCCCACTCCTTTGCAAAAAGTCCTTTCCGGATTAGCCATATGTTCTTCTACAAATTTCGATTTCAATAACCTGACAACCATTTGCCTCCGCACTCTCTCTCCTTTTCGCGACAGGACCATAGCAAAAAGTCTGAACATTCATGTAATCCCGCCATCGTGCAAATTTTTGCAACCCGCGAAGTCAGATCCGGGTCAGCATTGCTGCGTCGGTTTCTACATTAAGAAATCAATACTGTGTTGTCTCATTTTTGTACTGTTTCGTTTCACAGCGGCAATTCACTGTGGCGTTCCCGGTTCTTAACCCGGATTACGATCATCAAAACCGATTCCTGTCTTCAGAAACTTGACTGCACTTGTTCCCTATTGCCTTTTGCGCTCAACGTTTGAATCCACTATTTCCCTTTTCCAAAGGTCATTTTTTTCAAAATTTTGAAATTCAAATTTTTCAGAACTAGTGATCTGGTAACGCTGCCACTTGCTGACGAAGCTCAACGTACCATGGAATATCTTCGGGTGCGAGAAGAAGACGATAAAATCCCGCAGCAACATGGCTATGGAAAGAGAAGATCGCAGGAGTGAGTGCAGTTGAAGTTTTTTGTACAAGTTCACTAGGGGTAGAGGGGGGGGGCTCTGAAAGACTCCTCATGGAAAACCGGGCTATCATAAAAGGGTTAAGAGTTAAGCCGGAATCTTGGGGATGGGTAAAGCTGTTCCGGTACTAATGTAGTTCCGGGAGGAAGATTTACGGACAACTGGAACTTAATCTTATTGAACGCGTTAACTCTCTCCCTTTTCTCTGCACTCTCTCGTCTAGATGGCGTTTAATAAATCACCGCGACCTCCGATATTCCCGCTTTCAAACGTGATAATTGACACACCCACGTCGAGTCTCCAATCCCTTGGAAAAGCCCATCCCGCGACTCGCCATATGTTTTTGCTCCTTGATGCATTGTAGCCGCTTTCCTCCGTATTTCTGCGTTACAGTTTTCGCAGCGGACCTGCACAAAAGCTTAAGTTGTCTGTTAGCCCTAAGACTTAGGGATGTGTAGCGCTTGTAGCGCTACAAGTCTGAACGCTGTTACGTCACAGTCCTGGCAAGGTAACCGTTGCAATCGAGGTGACGCTACCTTCGCACCGGGACCCAATCCTTTTAGTGTAGCAGTGCTCTGGCGCTTGCACTCTCTTTTCTTCCTCTCTGCGTCTGCATTTCTCAAGTGGAGTAGTTCCCTCTGTGCCTGCGTCTGTCTAGTCAATCGGGTAAAAAATACTCTGCGTCTCTGTCGTAATGCCTGGGAAGTAACACTCTTTGCCCTAGGCGTAGACGAGTAGACCTAGAGGCTTCTGCTAACTCGTGGCAACTCTGCCTGTTTGCGCTCTAGGTCTAAGCCTCTGCTGGTGGGGGGGGGGGGGGCTAATGCCGTTTGGACGCACGCAATTTTGGCAGCGAGCTCATTTATGAAGTGCCTAATCACCAAATCCGCTGAAAACTTGTATACAGGGGTAATTAACATCCTGATTACGAATATGACACTCACTCTTGGCGCTGGCACCAAGAGGACACTACGATTACCTCCTGGGCTCAGCCTTAGCAGAGCGCAAATAATCGTAGTGTCATCTACCTCTATACACGTTTTTAGCAGATTTGGTGATTTAGGCACTTTAAAAATGAGCTCGCTGCCAAAATTGCGTGCGTCCAAACGGCATTAGCCCTGCTGGGGTGCAGAGACGCAGGGGCGCTGTGTAGTTATCCTCCCCCACCCCGAACATGTTGGCGCCGAAAAGCATGTCAATCTTTTTGTAATAGCTAGGGTAGCTTGGCCACTTTGAATACGTCGACAACCTGTTGTTTGAATTTTTTTCTTCGTCTTCGGGTAATCGAATAATGCAGACTGTCCCACTAACTGTTCAGCTGTGCCTTCCAGTCTTACGCTCTGCTAGTGATTTACAGCAGTCCTTCTTTAAGAAGTTCTTAACTACCATATCCGTCCCTTCAGGCCATCGATCGAAATTCAAGAACCGGCATCGGATATTCGTGATGACGTCATCGAGATGGCTGGCTCTAAGGATGATATACGGGACAGGCCAGTCGATGTGGTTAGTACTGAAGTATTACAGAGATGACAATTACAGTCTACAGCTTCAACTTCTGCACTTAATAGAGCCTGTTGTGCAACAACGCCCAATTGCAGGGCACTCACGTGCAAGCGTTAGAACCGGTTGCTGAACTACCTCAATCACCAGCCCCGTCGGCCAAGTCAACACCGCATACAACACCTAAGACAAGCATGAAATTCAAAAAAGTAATTCTTTTTCACCTCTATGCTCAAACAAAGAGCTTGATGTTAGTGATTTTGGGTTTTTTTATTGAGTCGCCCGTTTTATCTACCGTTTTCAGGATGGCAAAGAGGCAAAACCGTTCGACTTCGGCAAAAGTAAATTTAGCTCGAAACACGAAGTCGTCAAACGTGGAAAGGATGTTGAGGTACAGATTTTTCCATCAAATTTTTGCAAATATGGGCCTGTATGTTGTTATAAGGGGAGAAAGCGATGGGTAAAATGGCCAAGGTAGCATAACCATAGCAAAGGCGGCTATTATTGCACCGCTCGGTTGATTAACCCTTCCGTCTGCTAGTTGATTTTCGTACTTTTCTGCTTCTTACCCAGATGTACTCGTTTGCAACGCTGTTTCACCAAGGAAGAGCGACGCTAACAACATTTGAATAGGGTCATAAGAAAGACTCTTTTACAAAGAGGCTAAGATCATCCAAGTAGTAGTATAGTCGCGATCCCTGCAAACGATGGGGCGTGTGAAGGGGTGTGGAGTGGAAGCCTCTTTCCCACCAATGATGTTATATTGAATCCGCAGGCGTTGGCGAGAGAGGCTGTTCCTTCTACGCTCCAGTTCAAGCCCCCTTCGCACGCCCTATCGTTTGCAGGGCTCGACACTGCACCTTCCTTTTGGTTGACTCACTTACCCAAGAGCTATTTCCCCCTTTATACTTGAGCAGAAGTGCTTGCTTCCATTGCGGATTCCCACTTTTGCACAATGCGCCCACCTCCCCCCCCCCCAAGGTTTTAGCGCCAAAAACCTTTCACTCACCCCTCCACTTTTCTTCATGCTATCTGGGAATAATTACGCCAACGAAAAAAGCCTTGCGTAATGAAACTTAGA